CATATTAGGCAAGGGCTCTTCCAATGAGCTATATGCCTAGAGCAATGTGAGTTTTGTCTATTGGTATTAATTAAAACAAGATTTGAAAATTTTTACGATGCATCAATTTTTCTAAGTTTTACTGATGTGCAATTTATAAGTATGAAAGTCACCTATTTAAAAATGATACAGTTCAGTTATTATACTTTATCATGTAGTAAACCAGTCTGTTTTAGAACATTGTCACTCTGCATCCTTAATAAGATTCTTTAATCTCATGTATAAATTCTTATATCTGTTTTCTATGAATTTCTCTTTCTGAAATTTCATGTAGCTGTATTTATGTTGCATACTGTTGCTTAGGTCAAGTTTCTTTTTAACCTGTTTTTGAGGTTCATGTATGATTTTAGCCTGTTGTTCATTCCTTTTTATGACAAAATGTTTCATTATATTCATTATACCAAATTTCTTTATTTATTGGTCTACTTGGTTGGAAAGTAATTTTATATTTTAAGTATTTTAAGAGGTTGCCAGGATTTTTCATTCCCACTAGTAGCATAGGAGATAAAGGAGGCTTCTAATTTTTTCACATTCTCATAAATACATGTTATTTGCCTCTGTGTTTTCTTTTTTAAGTTAGAACCACTCCAGTGGTGAAGTAGAACCTCTTGTAGTTTTAATTAGCACTTCCCTAATGATTAATAATGTTGAACATCATTTCATGTGCTCGCTAGCAATTTGTATATATCACCTTAGGTGAAATGTCTGATTAGATCATTTGCTTATTCTTTGATTAGGTTGTCATTTTATTGAGTTGCAAGGATTCTCCATAAATCTTGGATATGTATCCTTTTGAAATACAAAAGTTTTTAATTTTGATGAACTCCAGTTTATTTTTTTGTCACATGGACTGTGCTCTTGGTGTCATAGATGAGAAATTGTTCTTAGCCCTAAAAAAAGATATCCTATATTTTCTTCTCAGAGTTCGTTTGTTTGAAGTAAGGGTGTTATTAGCTTCATCTTTTTAATGTCAGATGGATATCTAATTTAGATTGTAATATTAGTGTAAAATAATGCATTAAATGGTAACATAAATAACACTTTTATGAAAATAACTAATTTCTAAAGTAGAAAAATAATTACCAAAAAGAATGGTGTTATTTTGTATGGTAATTTTTTTACTTTCTGGTTTAAGGGAAGACTGATTGCCGTATCTGTTTCTACAGCTAGTTTGTTGCAATGTCACAAATCATGTAGCCTCTAGGAAAATGTCAACTTATAAGAGAGGGAGGGTGAAAAATAATGTCTTAGTGTTGTACTGAAGATATTTTATATCTCATGGATCCCATTGAAAGTGTGTGCCAGACTCCTTAAGATGACACTTTAAAAACCTGTGATACGAGTTTATTGATTAATTCTACTTTAAAATTACTAATCACTTAGAATTTAAATTTAGGGCACATCATTTCCTGGCATCTGATTTTATCATCTGATTTGTGTTTTATCAGAAGGCTTTTAAATGTCTTCTAAATATTTACAAATATGTAATATTTTATAATGACTGAGGAATTTAGTAGAAAAGGATTAGCAAACTGGTTCATGGGCCAAATCTAGCCCATGCTTGCTTTGATAATCAGATTATTAGAATACAGCCACACTTAATTGTTTACAGATTTGTTTCTGCTTCTATTCTATAGGCTTTGTGTAGTTGTGACAGAAATCATGTAACTCGTTAGCCTTAAGTTGTAACACGAATCAGGTTTATAATTAATAAGAATATATTGAAATTTCGTATTTGGAAGTTACCTTGACTTGAATACAATTTGTATTTCCTTAGTTAATTTTTTTTTTTTTGTATTTTAGGGAAGGATCTACAGGGTGTTCAGGGTCTCACTACTAGATTGGACTAGTAGTGATCCGCCTGTTTACAGCCTTCTAAAGCAGGGATTACAGGCGCGCACTACCATGCCCACAGTCTCAATCGCCATCTCAGCTTGGCCCAGGGGTGGGGCCGGCAGGGCAGGCCCAGGGATTGAATCCTGACCCCTGACCCCTGCACCTGCTTGTGGGTGATTTAATCTGCTGAGCTGTTTGGCAGGCCCTCCTTAGTTAATTTTTAAGAGTTTTTTTTGGAGACGAGAAATAACTTGTTGGGACAGAGTAGAATGTTATTTTGTACATCAAATTAAATAACTTTTAAAGTACTTCTTTTCAGTGAATATCCTGGAAGTGAAAGATGTTTAAAGGGCTGTCAAATTTAATTATATAAGTTTCAATTTGTATTTTCAGGATGATCTGGAAGACCTGATTATTAATTGGGATGAGAGCAAAAGCATTGGTGATATCTTTCTTAAATATGTAAGTATTTTATTATTTTAAATTTTCAGATTAAAATAATATCAAGGACTGGCAAGAAAGAAAATTTACTTGTTTCAATGTGAGAGGTTTTTAAACTTGATGTGATTATGTTTATAAACTATTGAAATTGTTCCTGACTTCTGAAATGTGCTTTTTGTATGCAATGTAAGATCATCCTTTGAAGAACACTAACTGTTGAACAGTGCTAAGTACTTTTACTGTATATCATGATACTGTGTATCATTTATGTGACCTACATAAATGGTCAGAGATACATGACTTTTTTGAAACTTTGAGGGCTTTTTT